ATTTCTTCTGTGAAAAAAGACGCAAATTAAAATCTAATTTTTTTTTTTTTTTTTTTTTACTTTAAAGACAATTACATTATTCCAGTTGTAAATTGCAAAACATTTAATCGAATCATTATTCTCGATAGTTAAAGATTGACCAAATAAATTAAAAAAAAATCTTCACTTCTTGATATAACGATAAATTATCAAAATTGATATATCCGAAAACTTTGATCAACGCTTTCAGAAAATCAATTTCCTTCGATTTCGAAATCAATTTGTAGAGTTAAAATTGTTGATTTAAAATTAGATTAAAACGAATCGTTGAAATTTTATGAAATTGAATATGAAAATTGAGGTATATATATACGTACATACAAGGTACATATTCTTGAAATTACTCCTTTGATTTTTATCATTATTATTATTCATAGTGAAAAATGTTTATTAAATGAATGGTTGTTAAAATTAAATGATTTCGAAAATAATTAATTTTTTTATGGATGTATCAAAGATGATGATGACTTCAATCGTATCGATCAATCGTACAAATTTTTCCTGATAAATTAATAAGTAATAAATATAATATCAATTCATTTAAATTAAATATATGCTGCATATGTTCATGTGAGTATTACGTGCTGAAATATTGAAATATGCATAATGTGCAGAATATGCATATTGTATGCAAAATGTATAATGTATACATAGGAAATATTAATGTCATAATTATATTAATATTATATTATAATGAACTATGATGATCTTTACAATATATTATCAATTAAATTAAACGTGTAATAAATTCATCTTGTATAAAGGATAGTGATATATAATATTATTGATAATCTTAGCATTTTTAGATGATATAACGATCAAAGAAAATCGATGTCCAAGTGATAAATTTACCCGATTTCCTCTAAACCTTGAGCAATTTGAAATGATAAATGACTCGTGATTATACGCCCGCATATATCCATTTTGTATCAAGCTTTTACTCAAGTTTAACGAGCTTCTCTATTCGAGTCGTGTTGCTAGAAATTCGATGAATTCGATGGATTAGGAATTATAGACCGTGTAATAATTTCATAATTCATTGAAGATTTCTCTCTTTTTTTTCTGTTACATACAAATTTTATCCTA